TATAGCAGAAAAAATTAGATGGCATGACTTTCTGTTTGTTTTTGATGAATACTACACTACCAAGGTGGTGTGACAAAAGTAACCCCAGATTTGAATTCAGCGACCCCAAAAACGTATATATAGACTGGAGAAAATTGATTTTCTCCATTTTTGCAAATTTGACCTGCATTTGCCCTTGACTGTGACGTGGTGGGGCAAAACTGACCCCGGATTCGGACTCAGCGACCCCAAAAACATAAAGTCTGCATGGTCTGGTCTGTGGGTTTTGCCACTTTTTTTTTTTTGTGTGGCTGTGTAATTAATTGTTCAGAATTTTTCTCGACCATTTGAAAATATTCAAAATTTATGTCAACGATTGAGAAAACCAGTGTTCAATAATCGATAATTTAAAATATCGATAATTTAAATTGTTGCTGTCAAATCAAGTAATAAGAAGCAACGCCACAGATCTAAATAGCATACGACAATAATATGATCAGCATCGAGTTATTCACTATTACTAAATTTATGCTCTTCATTCTCCCACGAGTATTCGATAAGTTTTCTCTCTCTCTCTCTCTCTCTCTCTCTCTCGCTTTTCTTTTAACAAAATAGACATCGCACTTTTTAGTCTCCTAAATACTGTTCTTAAGTCGCTTTCACCCTCGATGCAACCCTCATAACATGGCTGCTGATGCTGAATGCTAGTTTGCATCAGAAATATATAGCTGGTAACTAAGTAGGTCGAGGTATTATTTATGATAAATGCGAGTACTCAGGCAAATTTCTACGTTTGATAATTGCTCCGAGCACTTCTTGCTAGTAAACTACTTAATTTCGTCTTAACTAAATTCAGAACGGTTGACGAATTTTGACTTGGTCATTGTCGTGGCTCTCTAATCAACAAGATTTCGGGCTTGGTAGACTCGGACGACGATCGGCTCACTTAACGAGGTTGCTCTAGCCAACGCCTAGAGATCTCATATACCATTATGCATCTAGATTCTCTGAACTCAGAACAAAGGCAGCAAACCGATCTATATGGCAAACGACAATAATAATTGATCATCGAAAAGTATTCCCGTGTTACATCTTACGGCATCTCTTAACCTTCAATATAAAGTTTCGATACTCAAACTCTTAATAAAACTCAAATTCTGTACAAGGTGTATTCAAAAAGTACCCGGAATTATCGTTTTTCCAAAAAAATAGTTATTTTTACGTTTACGTCAATGTGGTCCCCTTCAAAGTAATCCCCCCAAGATATTTGTAATACACTTATGCCAGCGTTTTTTCCACTCTTCGAAGCACTCTTGATATTCACTTTTTGGTATGTCCTTGAGTACTCTCAGCGATTCGGCCTTTATTTCTTCAATCGAGGAAAAACGCCGTCCTTTCATGGGTCTCTTCAACTTTGGGAACAGGAAAAAGTCACACGGAGCCATATCTGGTGAATATGGATGTTGGGGCACGACTATGGTATTGTTTTTGGCCAAAAAATTACGAACAAGTACCGACGAATGAGTAGACGCGTTATCGTGATGCAAAAGCCATGAATTGTTTTTCCATAAGTCGGGGCGTTTTTTTCGGATTGCTTCACGTAAACGTCGCATAACTTCAAGATAATACTCCTTATTAACCGTACGACCTTGTGATAAGAACTCATGATGCACCACGCCCCTGTAGTCAAAGAAAACTGTAAGCAAAACCTTCACATTTGATCGAACTTGACGTGATTTTTTCGCTCTTGGTGACGTTGAATGCTTCCAGGTGGACGATTGTGCTTTGGTTTCGACATCATCACCGTACACCCATGTTTCATCACCAGTTATGACCCTTTCAAGCAAACTTGGATTGTCGATGACGTCGTTTAACAGCTCCTGAGCGATGTTCATGCGATTTTTTTTTTGTTCAAAGTTCAGCAGTTTTGGAATGAATTTTGCTGCCACCCATTTCATGCCCAAAACATTTGAAAAAATGTTATAACATGAGCCAATTGATATGCCAACTTCATCAGCAACTTCTCTAATTGTGATTCGGCGATCATTCAGAAACATTTTTTCCACATTTTTCACATTTTCATCGATTGTTGACGTGCTGGGTCGACCGGAGCGTTCGTCATCTTCAACGTCTTCGTGGCCATCTTGGAAACGCTTATACCACTTGTAAACACTTGTTTTTTTCATAGCAGACTCACCATAGGCTTTTCGTAGCATTTCACACACTTTGTTACACTTTATTTCATTTTTAACGCAAAATTTAATACAAATTCTTTGATCCATTTCTTTTAAAAAACGAAAATCGCAGAGCTCATAAAAACACGTCAAACCTTAGCGACTACCGCAAACAAAGTAAACAGTGAATATAGCTGAAAATTTTATCATACTTCAGGGGCATGTATACCAACGCAATAAAAAAAAATTTTGACAATCGGACTCTCCAGACCCGCGAAATTTAAAAATTCCGAGTATTTTTTGAACACACCTCGTATATGTCAGCAAAAAATCATTACACTCTCATGAACTCTCGCCACAAACAGATACGTGACAAGCTAATCTAATTATGCAAAATGCGATGTAGCAAGCTAGACCTACTTAAAACTGCAAATATCGAAACATAATGAAATTCAGAAGCTATAAGAACCTTGCAAGTGCCATGGCGAGTAGTTCGTGAGAGTTTGAATCACTGTATCAAGAGCTGTATCTCAGGTTTCCGTATTACAGCCGTACATAAATTTGGTGATCTCATATATATTTGGTAACTACAACTGTAGAACGTTCCTAAAATATTTTGTCAAATCCTGAATAAACATTACTTGGTCAAAAATATACTATACTAGTCTATTTCCGTATTTCTCAACTTGATTTACAAGACATCTCGGCGATAAGATCCCAGGTATTGTAACACTCGTTTCATTCATCTCTTTGCTTTCTCTTTGTCCGCATTTCGATACTATAGTTGAATAAATATACTTGTAATACATAAGTGAGCGTTACCCACTAGATTTCATATTGGTACGTCTGAAATGTTAGGTTTAATGGGTAGCTAATGCCAAAGACGTAACACTTGTACAAATCAATAATGACTATTTTCTCAAAAAAGAATGCAACTCTTCCAGATCTTCAAGCACTTGAAATTTTGTTCAGGAACTATCGATTCGAATTGATGAATTCCATAAATAATGATAGATATATTTTATAGAAATTGAATAATCAAACACAAAATAAGTATATGAACTAGTTTCTAAATGTCAACTTGAATGAAAGCCGTTATTCATTCATACTCGAGATAAGATAGACAACGTTGTACGAAAATAATTTATTTTTAATTTTTAAAAGAATACTAAAGCATTTCATATAACAAGCAATAACTTTGACATATAATATAATATACTATAATAAAACGCAACATTTTAGAACAGTTTTTAATTGTTCGAGATATACTCTTGAGCAATTTTCGAGATTAGGAACGGTACATAATACACGGAAGATTGTGCACGGTGAATGATACACCGAAGAGGCGGATAGTATACGGTACACGGACAATGGCATACAATATACGGTGCACGGAAGATGGCTCATGGTATGTTGTACATGAAAGACGATGGATAGTAGACGGTAATCGTTAGAAAGTGAACCCTATACGATACACAAAACTTTTTGGATCTGAACAGTTTATACGCCATATATGAGACTGAGAGTTAGTTCACTTTTGCCTACATACAAAAATTTGGAACAGTTTAGCAAATATGCTGCTAAATGCTTTGAAAGTCAATGTTTTGAGCATTGTGCTTTCGAAAAACGCTACATGAATGTCACGTACAGTGCCGACCAATTGTTTTTGCCCACCGAAAATGAAATTGTTCAAAATTCAGAAGTTTTATATGTAGATCAACAATGAATGTATAGAGACCAGTTGCCGTGCATTTGAAATCTCTTGAAAAGATATTTAAATCTCTCCTGATTATTATATGTGCGTAATTTTGTTTTTGAATGAAATCTTTGCAGCTCGAGCGTATCTGCGCGCTCCAGACTCATACAAACAGTTGATCGATAACAGCTAGAGCAAACTTTAAACCGGCAACGGCTTTCTTGTTACAAAATGCGAAGGGGCATAAGTTAGCTCTTCACCGAGGCATATGCATATATATCTAACATAAAAGTTAAATACGATGGAGATTATTTACTAAACACTTGATTCCTGCAATTCTAGTTACAGTTCACAAATTAAAAAATCAAATCTTCAGCTGGTAAACGAAGAGTCTTTTTTTATAGAAATTCACCCGTGATTTCATTTACAAATTATTTACGCAGAGATATGGGAGGCGAAATATTTCAGCTATTTAGTAACCTGTCGGGCGTGTAGGTTGCAATGTACGAGCACAAGTAAGTTTGGGACGAGAAAGAAAGAATGTCGGGATAATATATCACGTTGACGAACAAATTCATTTCCGGCCCATTAACATGAAACAAAAAAATAAAAGAAACAAAATTTTGGCTCGGCAATATCATGCCTGTAACAACGATTGGGTAAGGCACCATCCTAGGAGGTGTGCGCAGCCGTTATGGGCGGGCACGAATGCTCGCCAGAATAACGGTGTACCTCTCCGGTCAGTTTTAGGGATGAATAAGTCACTCAGCGGTGGCACTAACGCTTACTCCGCCAATCCGTACCTCAAACAGGCAAACTATTCACATACATGCGTTTGATTTGACGAAGACACGCGGGCAAATAACGAGAAACAATAATCAACGGGAAAATCTCTAGCATAGCAGCTTTTCCTGTCATATGCTGATACGGAAAATATGAATAAATTCTACCGGCTGAATGTGAATCTCCATCAATTGTAGACGCATATGTAATCATAGCTAAAATTGAACGTGTGATATAAGATAGACTTTATTTATATTAGGCCCAAGAAAATTCAGAAGTAAAAATTAGATGTATTATTTGTACATGTTTATGAACCATATATTATTTTGCATAGAACATATATCAAGTATAATTTAACTCTTTCACACCTGATATCCAAAAGAAGCATAATAAGCGTGTTCCATTATAGCCATTAGTTGAATAGCATTATATCCTTGCTTGACAATACGAGGTATAATATTTGTAGTGAATTCCGAATATGTTCCAACACGACATTCTTGTGTTGCAATACCTACGTGACATTCATATATACGTAAACTTCTTGGTTTCTTTGGTTTTGGATACTTAGGAATGTATAGCTGAAATATATATGAATGGAAAATATTCAAGAATAAAGAAGAAAACATCAATATATGTTTCGCAATCTCACCTGATCAGGTCCTGGAACCCATAATCTCTGTTTGTATGACGTATCATTGGAAGGGTTATTTGCTTGAGTAACATATGTTGCCCAAGGACTCAATCTTTCAAGGTATTGACCATTTTTATCTTTGATGATGATCTTAATTTCTGACAAATGTTTTAATTGACACGTTCCATCGTTATTTGGCGGTATAAACAATTCCCATTTTCCATATTCTAACTTTTGAAAAGGATTTTCTGTTTTCGCCCAGTTGTCTATTTTTCACATATTAATGATAGCAAAAACGTTAATAACAAGGATATAACAACATATATTTTATGAATTTTTAGCTAAAATATTGATTATTTAACAAGTTATTAACGATTGAAGATAAATTTGAGGATTTTTTTCTAAAACTAAATAACTTTATTACTTATAAATTATGTAACGTTACATTTAATTGTTTATGGTATCAAAATGTTTGATACAATAACACAAACTTCGAGCAACAGAACTGATTTTTATTTGATTTTTAAACATGCAGACATATAATCTGTTCTACCAACTTATAAAATATTTGTACATTACAAATCATTGCTAGTTTTAGTTATCTTTAGCTGATCAACAACGGTCAATAATTATGATAGTTTTCGGTTACCAGTAACTATGAAGACCAAAGTTCGATCAAAAAAGAAAATATAAATAAAAAAGTGAGATAAGAAAAGATACGGGTATAGAAGGAATAGCATAAGAGAGACAGAGTGAGAAAAGATAAGCGTGCAGCTAGTTATCCATCAGAGAAGGAGCGTGAGTCCTGCATACATCGATCGAAAGATTACAAAATAAAAAAATTATTCTATAGATATCAATCACAACAGTGACAAAGACTTGAGAAGTATTCATTGACTTGAATGAACATTTTTGTCTATCTTGCTGGTACTTGCCTTGATAAATTCATTTTAAAAACTGAGAAAACTATTTTTAAAGAATCTGTAACAGGTCCTTGATCAAACCACTTTGAATTATTATTGACCAAAGGTGTAGTACACTTCTATTTTTTAGACTATACATAGTAGTCTCGATAAAATAGTCGAGCCAATCAAGAACAGGTAGATAAATAAATCCGTTAGAACTCACACGACAGTTTTTCGAGAGCTCAGTTTTAATTAATATCTCGTAATGAATTTAAACGGAAAAATTTCAGGAACCACTGCTCTGTATGTTTTCGAGAGTGCTCTTTCCAATGGTGTTGGTTTCACGTTGAGTAAACCATAAGGATATTTTGTACTAAAACTAATATATTCTACAACACATTTTTTAACAACAAAAATGTCTTAGAATTGGTAAAAGAGTAATCTAGAATTGTTTCAGAATTTTTTGACACAATTTTAGAATTTTCCGGAAGCGGCCGAAGTTATGGAGGTAGACCAGATGTTGAGGTCTGCCGACCCGTTTTCTGATGCAGGGCAAGCGGCTTCTGATGATACCGACGTTGCCTTCTGTACCTCGCAGTTAGCTCAAGTGTCGGTTGACGAGTCTGAGGGCGAAAAAGCGAAGGAACAACCTTTGCCGCCGCCTTTGCCTTCGCCGTCGACGGCGTTTGTGAGCGACAGGTGCGGAGTTCGTTTGATAACGAGAGGTAAAGGAATAGGATTCTTAAGTCTTGAACTCAGTTGTCCAGACTTATTATTATAATATATATTTTTCACGACTTATTTATAATCTATTTCAAGCGATAGAATTTTACCTGGTTTATTTATTGCGGATCAATTGGCCGAGTCAATTGCTGAAGATCGCGCTGTAGATAGCTCGTTGATTTTTTAATATATATAAATTTAGCTGAGTTCATTCAGGTATTGGTAAATCGAGAAATTTGTGTTTCGCAATACAGACATGACATCAAATGTTTAATCGACTATCTTGGTTTCGATTTAATGCTGATGTGCTCAGCAAAAAGCTTACGTATAAGGATTCGACATCACCGTGGCTAGATCGTTGTATATCGGTATATTATCAACGTAAATCACAAAACAAAACTAATAATATAAATTTATATTAATATGAGATATTCAGCAATTAATCGATTACGTTTTATTTGTCTTAATATTCAATTGTAATGCTACGTGGATCACATTACATTATTTTATGGTATGGTAGAGTTTCATTTTAGGATCCTTATTAACATAAATTTCGTAATTTTGATCAGCGTATTTCTAATGTAAATAGTGAAATGTTTTGCTTGTTAATTATGGAGATTTTATTTGGAGCGGGATCTGGGAGTATGATTTTTGGTAATTGGTTGGATGCAATTGGGACAGTTGGTAATGATTTTGGGGTTACGCTTTCTGTTTTGTCGGTTATTATTCCATCCAATTCATATTCTTTAGTTTTCAATGAAGCTTTGTAATTTTGGCTGGCTAATTGCCTATTTAGCATTACGAGCAGATGCGTGATTGAGCTAAATATGGCTCCTAATAGGTATGTCGATAATCCGTATATAGCATGTAATATGTAACCTCTAATTGTTATATTGAAAATGCTTTTATCACATTGGAATATAATGACACTCATTATAATGGTGGAACTTATAGAACGGAATTTTGTTAGCTTAATGATGAATTTATTCCATATGTTTTCTACGATATTGGTCAGTATCTTTTCTGTGATTATTAGGTCGGACATCAATCCTCCTTGAATGCTTTCCTTGCCTTGTAGTTGTTGCAGGTCTTCTTGCGAATAAATACCACTGGTCGCTAATGACTCTAGTTCAGTTGGTTTCCATGTTATTTTGGTGGTTGGTTTCAGAGTCAAGACTATATTGACTGTTTTTCTCGGTCCTGGTGTAAGGTTTATCCATTGGTTTCCCAGTTTATAGTACTGGGGAATAATTGTGTTGCAGTTTATTTCTGTTTCCGTTTTCAGCAAGATATGTGTTTTTTGTGTCGGATAAAATGTCTCGTCTGTATGGAGTATCTGGACTTAAGTAGGCGTATATTGCGTATAATATTCCCTTGCCTGCCGAGCTATGTACCCGGATTTTTTTATGATGTTGTATGCAAATTCGTCAAGTGAGATTGATGCGAGGGATAGGGAGATATATAGAACTTGCCTTTCTAATTCACATTTTTGTTTCAAAAATATCTAAATAAACGCTTTTTATTTCGGACCTGAAATGTTTCTATACATAGACGAATTTACTGTAGAAATATGTGAATAGATCGTAATTAAGTATCACTTGCTTTGTCTGAATATTATTAACGTATAAAATGTTGAATTAAGATTGCTCGTATATAAAAAGTCTTGGGTGCTCAGTTTTCATCAATATTCTGTTAGAAAACCTCATATTTCCTCTAGCTATGCAAAGGATACTTCGTTTATGCTTATACTAAATATTGTTTCTTGATTGGGTAAGGTTATTTTGGTGACCGGCCCTCTATATAATACATCGTATTGATTTTTAAATCAGTCTTCATGTAGTAGTAAAGATCAGAAGGTGTAGTCCCCTTCCATATCGATGCAGTGTTTGTCTGAAAACTTACATACCGCATCCGAATTTAATCTTATCTTATCATTATCTAGTGTTACAGCTGCGTAACATTCTAATAATTATTTTTATGAATCTCTGTACAAAAACATTATTCCATGTCCCAAATCTATCTATATAGGCTGCTCCCGAGCAAGATTTTTTCTGAATGTTCCCTGCTAAATCTAGTCCTATGCTTTTCGTACAGTTAATTTTTAAATCAGCTATGGTATATACATTATCGTATTTAAAAATACCCGTTTGATGAATATCATCACAATCATCGTGTGAAATATCATAAATGTACACCTGGATAGCATTTTCGGTTGGACCTAAATGATTAAGCATACCGCAATGAAAAACCGTACGTCTTATTTTTATTTTACATTGAATAGTTTTTGTTGATCTAAATTCTGTTTTTTGTAATAGTTTTACTGTAGACAATGTGGAATTTATTTGCATTTCGTGAAAGTCACACTCTTTTGCGTCCAAGAGAAAATATCTTGTGATGGTCGGGTTTGTTAAACTGCAATTGAAACCAATGAGTTCTGTATTTGTATGAAGGAAGATGATTATGCTTGAATTCCGTGCCATTGTGTTTCCTAAAAGTCAGAAAAGAGTTAATATGTGTGTTTAGAAACGCTTAATTTTTTCGTGTTTTTCCGTCGTATCTCGAACGTATTCGCGATACCGGACAGCGAACTCATACAATCGTCGCCTTGAACAAGGTCGCCATGGTGTCACGACTGTTCGCGATGATCGGGCGATTGTTCGACAAGTTCGACGTAAACCTTTCATCAATGCGAATATCGTGGCAAGAAATTTCCCAAATCGGGTACAACAGCGACAAAGAAATCGACAGCGGCATCAAGTGTGAAACATTTCTTCCCGAACAGTAATCAACCGTCTTCGTGAAATTGGGTTAAATGCACGACATCCTAATCGTGTACCCCTTTTGACAGCGAGACATCGCCGAGCACGCTTAGCATATGCTAATGCACATCGGGCTTGGACATTAAGACAATGGGGAAATGTTTTATTCACTGACGAATCCCGGTTCGTCCTTCATGGGAGCGACCGACGTCCCCTTGTTTGGCGTCATCGTGGAGAACGTTTTCGCCAGAATTTTGTTTGTCCGATTGTTACCTACGGCGGTGGATCAGTCATGGTCTGGCGCGGCGTTTCACGAACTTGAAGAACACCACTGCTGATTGTACGCAAAAACTTAACAGCTCAGCGCTACTGTAACGTCGGGCCGTTTATTATCAACAAAATTTTTTTTGTGAGTGCTTTTGCGTGAACTATATACGCATTTAATACGTGACTTAGATTTTAACTCTGTGAGTAAGAAAAAGGAGAGCATTCAGCTGAAGCGGCAAAAGGATACGTGAAAACACCCATCCCTTTGTCGCGCACTTTCCGAATTTTACTCCGAAAGATTGTAAAGTTTTTTTTGAGTAGGTTTAGATATAGAGTAGAGGAGCCGCGGAATTCTGTCTGCATCCTGTTACACGACAACTCCTCAAAAGTTTCCACTTTTAGAAGCTAAAACTTTTACCATAGAGAAAAAATCTAATAATTATTTTTGTATAAATGAATTGAGAAAATAAAAGCATGATAGGAGAATTTCGCAGCTTCTTAAAACCTCCCGCACACTTGTTGATTAAAGACGTAGTTTCCGCACAATTAACGAAAATATCCAAAAGTTTTGAAGCTATAAGTTGGAAAATTTAATAAATATTCAGAAAACAA